GTGGCTGTGGCTGTGGCGGCGGAGGTTGGCCATACCCATAGCCCTGTGGCTGTGGCTGTGGCGGCGGCGGTGGTGGTGACGAAACAGGTGTATCGTAGTTACTCCCATCCTCCCCTTGCATTGCATGAGGCAATGCGTCTGATGTCGTATCCTTTCGCCGTGTAAAGTAGCAAATGAGCGCCGTGCAAACACCAATTTCAAGTAGTAAAAATAAGACCCCAAGAACAATCATTATAATACCAACAGTATGCGGATTTGCGCCAAGCTTGCCAGTTCCTTTTGTCGCACGCTGCACGGCGATGTAGGGGTCCTTGTCGCTGTAGAGGCGCACTGTAATGCTGCTTGGCATGGTGGGTTCATAGACGTTGGCCCTATCATCGAAATTGTAGTTGGCACTTCGGAAGGAAGTGTCTTCAGTGTACTCTCCCTTGCTGATCTCGCGGGCAACAAGGTACAATTGGGTCAAATAGACGGTCAGCGTGCACTCGCCACATAGACGGCCCACTGTACACCACCTGGGAAAACCATCAAAGGTCCCTCTCATAGCGGCACATTTGTCCTGGAACGCACGAGCATTATGTTCGCACTGGCAATGTTGCCCGGCCTTACACTTTGCTGTAGAGCACTGGTGAGTCGTCCTTTTGGAATACCGTAACAAGGCGTCTCGGGTGAAAGGGGTGACAGTGTCGACCTTCACGGAAACGGACAACTTTTCTGAAGCGGGATTTGTAACTGGAATGACGGCCTCCGCAAAGATAGACGTGGCCCTGGGCACGCCCTCGACGTCTATCGGCCTGCGTATCAAAGTAATCGGCACATCGTTAATCGTCCCAGTCCACGCATTGAGAGGCGCGGGGTCAAACTCCTTCAGAGCCGCGGTTAGTGACTTTTTCCCGTCCTCTTGGCGGAGGAACAAGGTGCCGACGATGATAAGGACCGGACCACCGAGGATTAGGCAACAGGCAACCGCCACAACTGTTTTGAAGCAATCCTCGACCGCATCAAGGATGCCGCAAAACATTATGAGTGATCTTGCAGTTAGACGTTCTAACACACAGGAAACAGAAGAAGCAAGAAAACAAAAAAGCAAAGCAAAGCAAAGCAAACCACCGAATATGCGCCTGGCCAAGTTCCTTGACGCCCCATTCCCGCAAAGTAAAGGGAGGACAAAACGAGGCGACGACCTCCCAACTTGGGCCAGCGCGCGCCCAGACCCCCAAATTCGGAGTTGCCGCACCCCACACACTCACAGAGACGAATATAAACAAATGGGCCAAAAACAATTCCTATGGTGGCCGCTCTCTCGTCGGGAACTCACGAAGTGGCAGTCGTTGAGGCCCCCCCCCACCGCAGCCGGACTCCCCCCGCGTGGGCGGTATTAGTTTTAGTGGTGGATTCGTGAGCGGGACAAGAGCGATTGGGGAGGGGGGAACACACACACACACACACACACACTCACTCACGCTGCCCCTCCAACGCAGCATCGGTGCAAGCCAGAAACAAGAAGTCCATGTATAAAAAAACACAGGGGAAAATTAAACAAGACGCGCTATCATCCACTAAGCCCCGTCCGCTCCCGGATTTTTTGGAAAATATTCTCAAGAAAAGAAAAAAGCAAAAACAAAATAGGTAGACAATAATATCGGTTTGTCAAAGAGGCAAGCGGCCCGACATATGATATAGAGAGAGAAACAAAGGGGGGAAAAAAAATAGAACACGTTGGCGCAGCACCGCAGGTTCCAACACGTGAATTCCCTTGGAATCTGCTCACAGCTCTTTTTTTTTTTTTTGCCGTTACGCTCGTTATACAGATATTTTCACACGCTCCATGTGTACACTTGCAAAGACGCCCCTGCAGGTTCTCTGCATGTTACCCGATGATCCATGGGGTTCTTTTTTTTTGTTTCGGTTACTGTGTCCTGCTCTGAGTGTCAAAATAGCGGCTGCAACGGCACAAAAACGTCCATCTCCATTCGACCGGTCGACTCCCCTGGGGTGAGATACACGCGCTCCCCCACCTTCAGGGATTCACACGGGGCTGCCCGAGCTTGCGACCCCACCGAAGTCGCACAGCTGCCATTGAGGCGTGAGTACGAGTAATACATGCAGTCTATGTAGTTCGGAGGTTTGTTGTACGGCGGAGTCGTGACGTTAAAAAACAAGGCGGGCTCCTTACTCTCATTCACAATCTCGTGCAGGACACCACCGGTGTGCGGCCCAAACGATGCCACCAGCGTTGCGGGGTCGCCGCCGTTAGGACGCGCCTCAACGGTGCCTGATAAAACGACAGTGGCTTCCCCACCCCGGCGGTTAATGAGTTGCGTGTCCACAGGCTCAAACCCCGGCACCCAATCGAAGGAATTAATGTGGAGGCGTCCAAATAAAATTCGCTGCCACACAATCATCGTGCAGTGATCATGCAACGGCAGCATGGCGCCAGGGGGCAGAACAAACCAGGAGCACGCCACGTCATTCGTCTCGTACACCGTACAACACCCAGGTCCTTCGCCAACTTTTCCTTTCCAACGATTGGCGCCGTTCGAGTTAAGCGCGCTATGGAGCGAAAAGGCATGCTCGTTAATTGCGATGCTGCGATCTTCCATAGATCGTTGTGCCACTTCCTCCGAGACATAGCTTTTAAGGTCGGCGAGGGTCAGTTGTGCAAGGGCATTTGTAATGCTGAGGGAGCAGAACGGCCCGCGGCCACGCTGCAAGGCAGACTTCAAGGCCAACATTGTACCAATCCGTGAGAAGGAAAAGTCTCTGCGGCGCCTCTCTGAAGCCACAACGATGGCAGAAGTTATACCTCCCTTCGTCGCCGCGTTCTCAGTTTGAATAGAGACCGAGTAAAACAGCAACGGTAGCAATAGCCGCAGAGAAGCACAACCGCACGGAGGTGGAAGTCAGTGTGATGCCTTGCCTCGCCTGAATAAAAAGCCACGCAAAGGCGCACAGTTGAATTCTTCCAGCGAAAGCAAAAAGGTGGAGAAACAAAACAGGGAACGCGGGTCTCAGTTTGGTAACAAAAAGAGAGAGAAATAAATGCACACGGAAAGACTCAGATGTATGCTTGCATTTATTGAACGGGCAGGCCGGCAAGATTTTTTCAAAAAAAAAAAAACAGCCCCCGCCAGTCACAAAAAAAAAATAAAATAAGAAAACAAAACAACACAAAAAAAAAATAATAATAAAACCCCAGCAACTAGGGAAAAGGGGAGAGGAATAAAAACGACTTCTCCCTCGTCTTGGCCCTCCGCACCACAGAGGTTATGGGGGGTGAACGAGCGCCGTGGTGAGGATCACACAAGATCTGTCCAATTTTTGCCTCGGATAATCGTCGCCGCCTCTTCTCCTCTAACTCAATCAGACTCCTCTCCTCAAGCTCTAAAGACATGAGACTCTCGCGTTGCCAATAAGGCTTTTTGAGGCCATAAAATATCGGGAGCAACGGCTTGCGCCGGTTTGGGCAACGATGTACGCCAGACTTCCAGCGGCGCTCAAGCGCTTTAATGAGACTTTCCATGCCATCATCACGCGATGGCGCTTTAGCAGGCACAGCTGTCCGTGCATCGCAGTCGTGCTTGGTCCTAATAGGCGCCAAAGGACTATTTTTACACACAGGGGCGAAGAAGTCCGGCTTGGAACACGACGGGCTCATTGCAGCCCGGGGGGACGACGCTGGGCAATCGTTCATATTACGCTGTAACTGCAAACACCTCAGTGTATGACGCGCCAATGCTGCCATGGAAAAATTATCGCAAGAACTACAAACTATTGCTGCCTCGGACGGCGCCGAAGTCTTCTTCGCACTTGCGCCTGGTACTGCCTCCACGTTTAACTTTACTTCCTTGGACGGCGTCTCGCAATTCTCCGCGTCACCCATCCTTTGGCGCCCCCGCCACTCCTGATGCAGAGAAGGCCGCAATGGGTGCTGCCCCACTCCGGCGTGGCCCACAACACCCTTCGCGAATGTTTTTTTTGGGTTACAAAAGGAGGGGAGAGTGGCGGCGTCGCTCAAATGGCGGACCACAACAGAAATGGGCCCCTCACACCCAATGGCCCGAAGGAGCCGTCGCCCCTGCGCTCCTGCCCCGGCTGAACCAGCAACCAGTTCACGCCGCTCCGCGACTCGCGAGGGTACGGAGCCAAAGACATGCAGGCCCCACACTTCCGCCAACGCACTGGAAGCAGCAGGCTGAGTAAACTTAATAGATCTCACTCCAAGAGGCGCCACCGGCGTCTCTCCTTCCCCATGAAACTCAGCATCATCAGCCACTCCAAGGACTTGAATGAGAAGGCCACCGGTTTTTTGTACGGCGCTCTTTCTTGGTGGGCGATTTCGCATGACCTTCAGAGAAAAATCTATCACCTCTCGCACAGAAGTTATGCAGTGAAAGGAGGCACGTGGTAAGGCGGTAATCTCCCGCACTGCGTAACGACGCAAGTGCAGGGGTAAACTTGTGGGCCCTGGCATCTGATAGCTCAAGTCTAGCCAACGACCCCCCTCACGCTCCACAAAGGAAACAAAGAGTTTCCAGCCTGGTGTCCGCTCCATTACCGCCTCACAAAAGCAAGCAAACAAGCCAGTGATGGCGGCACCATCACCCGCTGTTTCCGTAGGGGATGGTTCATTGGGAGCAGGGGGGGACGAGGACCCCACCTCGTGGAAACCGTTGCCGCTGGCGCCTTGGGGAAGCTCTGTGGGCGCGAGGGCCGGCAGCGAGCAACCCAGCAAAACACAATTTTTTATAGAAGGCACCGTCTCCTTTTGCTCCGCATTGGGCGAAAAAAAACAGGGGGAGGAGCCGCACGAAGGCCTTTCCTCAGAGAGCTGAACGGAAGACTCCAACGAGGCGCGTTGCGGATGCAAAGGCTCTGCACGCGACACCTCCACGCACGTCTCACGGCCCTCCCAGAAGGATTGGGCCAAACCCTTGACCACCGCATGCATGCTACAACGAGAGACACGTGCGGTTAGGCCTGCTTCCTCGGGGCGATGCTCATTGCAGTGCCACAGCCCCTCCTCCTCCTCCGCAGCAACCGCCTCATCTCGTGCGTCGGACGCAAGTGAAGAGGAGTGCGACCGATCCACGCGAGCTGCGGCGGTTAAACCCAATCCACGGGGCGTATGCGCCATCACGACCAAACATGAGAGACTCAAGCCGCACACACACACACGCGAAAGCCCTACCAGCTACGCTGTACAGAGCTGGATCCTTACTTTCATTTCGACCGAGAAGAAGGAGAGAGGGAGAAAACAAGCAAGCGGCAAACCACAAGAGTATACGCGAGAGAACCGTGAGGCAACGCAGCGAGCAAGTGCGGCTCATACAACAAAGGGAGCGAGAACGCGCTGGTCGTATAGAAAAAAAAACGAGGAATATAAAGAAAGAAGCACAACCTAAAAAAAAAAAAGTAACAAATGGAGGAAGGAGAAAATCATTCCTACTTCCTGTGTTTAGTAAGGCAGCGTGAAGCACTGGAGAGCCAATCGCTGCTGTGTTAGTTTGTTGAAATGTTGTTGTACCATCCCGGACACGGATGGCCGCAACGGCCGCACGGAACAACTGTCCGGTTCAAATTGCAGGCACCGGGCGGTGCCGTCGACAAAACTCCCGGGGGGCACGCTGTCGCGCACCCCACAATGGCGCTTACGTTTTCTTTCGCCATTGGAGGACGTCGTATTTGCCGCCGCAGCGAAAGCCGCCAGTCTGTCGTCCTCTGCATATATGGCAGATGGCGAAAGCTGTTGTTGGCTCTCACGCCAGCATTCCCGTGCAACGCTATCTATGTCGTGCGCAAGCAACTCCGCCGCGCTACGCTCTGCCTGTGAAAGCAGCGACGTTGTGGTCGAAGCATCCGGGGTCAACGGTTGCGACTCCGCCGCTCTGGAGCTGGCGCAGCCGCTCTTCGCTGCTGACCCCTCACTGCCCAACGGGCTTCCCTTGCAGGGAGAAACCGGCGAGGGGGCGGAAAGAATCGACGGGGGAAACGTCTTTCTCGGCAATGGGGAGCGGTAGCCACAGACACCACCGCCCGTTTTTGGAGTTGGCACGAGAATTCCACCATCGCATGCGCTTCGTCTTTTCTCAGGAGTCCGCAGAACCGCAGTGGTGGGGGTTTCCTTTTTGCTGCCCTCGCCCGCGCCGCGCGGCGCGCACGCAGGGGCCACCACCCACACGGACAGCGGTGCGCCACGGCAGAGCTCACCGTACGCCTCGCCGAGCCCCGTCAGCTGTCGCCTTCCCTCCTCCCGGCCACCCACCGAGCGAAAACTTTGCTGCTGCATCAAAACCACCTCAGCTCGTTTGGCAACCGCGCGGTGCGGCGCCACCCTCCCCCCGGCAGCCCCATCGCCGTCACTATCGTACGCAATGATCTGTTCATTGCCTGCGGAGCCCGGCATCATTTGTGCGGCGCGCAGGCGCAAGCGGAGCGAGAAGAAGTTACACGCACTCGCGGTGTGGAAAGGAGGAGAAAAAAAAATAGATAAATAAATTGAGCCAACGAAATGAGTTCGCTCACGTCTATGTGGCCCGCGTCGTCGATAAATACACCGAGGTAGGCCGCTGTCTATGCGTAGGCTCCGGGGCGCCGCTGCGTCCGACAACGCCGCACGAAGCCTGCACTCTGCTCGACGCAGCAGGGGGTGAGTGCAATATGTGTCTATGGGCGTGTGTCTATGGGGGTATCTGCCTGCTACCGCCTCTTCGCAGTGTCTCCGTCTCGCCAACTCCCCCTCAGGAAGGCGTTTAAAGCATAAAGCAAAAAACAGCAGAGCAAAACAAAGCACAAACGCACCGGCAGATAACGGCAAGTCGCACGGGTTACACCGCAAAGCCGTCACACCACCTCGCGTCGCTGATGCACAGAGACGGCGAGGGAGAGAGAAAGAGAGAGAGACAGAAAGGCGGAGCCGCAACGCAAGCGGCGCACGGAGGGTTCTTTTCTCAGATACATCGCCTCACGGTTGGGCTGCTCACGGCATTACGGCAGTGGCGAGCGCGCGCAAAAATAATAAAATCGCATACAAAATAAAAAAAAAGACAGAAGCAAAAAGATTTTCCTTTTTCTTTTTTTTTTCTTTTGGCGAACAATACAAGCGAGCAAATAGGTAAGCACGTCGCCCTTCGCAACACAACAGATATGCAGAAAAAGCAAAACGCAAAAGCGCACGGAACCACACAGTTGGCACATGTACAAGCAGATGAAATTCCCCAACTCCACCTCCATCCCAATGCGCAGCGAGGCAGCGGCATCCACGCGAGCGTCCCCGTGGGACAGGCGGAGACGGGGCCACGGACGTAGCGAGAGGGGCGGGGCAGAAGAAAAATAATACAATCGCCTCAAGGCGTAGTCCTTGGGGCCGCGCTGCGGCACAGTCTCTCCCTTTCCCCCTCCCAGTCCCGCTCCGCAGCGGCCCACTTACAGCAGTGAGTCTCCTACACGCATGCCTCCTCGAGAGCCACAAGTGTCTCTTTCCCGTAATGTGTGTGTGTGTGTGG